CTTCTATGCTTGATTTCTTTTGTTTGTTACTTCAATGTCTGCTCACTTTAAATTCTGCTGATTCCTTATGGTTGATTCTCTTACTTTTTGTATCATTTAGTGATTCAGGTAATACGACTAATCCACTAGAGAAGTTAGGGTTAATGATGAGAAATTGTCGCTTGATCGAGCACCTGTTTGTAGAGCACTATATCATAGAGGGTAAATGTTTCCACTATAAAGCTTTCCTTTGTATATTATGTCGTTTNATGTTTTTGCTCAATGTGACCTACTTTGTAACTGGTAGTATAGGCCCTAGAGCATATTCAAGCTTGGTGGAGATTGTGGGTAACTGCCCTAACTTAACCTCGCTAACGCTAATACGTTTTGGGGTAATTGATGCAGTAACCCGAGTTATCATTANGGTATGGCTCCTCCTGTTTTTCATGGTGTTTCTTCTTCATTTGNTACACTACCATCCGTATGTTTTTATAAAACCATAAAATATTGGGATGCTTTTGCCGGGTTTTCGTCAGCTGAAGTACATGAATCTTTCTTATTCTCAAATGACTGGTTGCTTTTTGAGGTTCATGTCATTTTGAGTAAACGTTAACGATGATATCTTTAAGTGTTTGTTAGCAAATTTCTTATGGCGTGCGATTTTGATGGTAGAGGATATGGGATTTAGCTGCAAAGGCAGTCCACTCGAGACTCTAATATTGCGTGACTGCTATGATCTTAAGGAGGTAAAGGATATAAAACACGACAAGTGTTTTTTTTGGTTTTGAACTTGTGTCTTAATGTCACGCTCATGAGTTTTGACCGAAATTTGGAATTCGGGAAGAAGTTTTGCTGATTTTGAATTCATTACTCGCTGGAGACTTCAAATCCATTCGGCTCATTGTAAGTTGTTATGGCAAAATTTGCTTATGAAACAAATAAATTTTTGTATAACTCATAATCTGTCTTCTTCTTTTTCTCCAAATAGGACATATACGGTTTAGTTTCTGAAATGGGCAAGAAGACTTATGAACCAAAGTACTGATTGATTTGTTCATTCTTTTTTTGTTAACGAATTGTTCATTTAAATCTTTCTTTTCTTATTCTATATATAATATATAATACTGTTGTGTGTTGTAGATTTCCAATTGAGGAGAAAAAACAAAGACCAGGTTTCACATTTGTAGCAATTTTTGAATCACTACCATCATCATCTTCAAGGTTCATCAATTTGGTAACTAATTATGATTATCAGCCTTTCCTTTTTTTTTAACAATGTTACTGAATATAAAAGGTTTTTGTTATTGATAGTAACTAGTTACTCTTATCACCAACTGCATTGCCTCTGAAGATCCAATATGGTCCTGAGGAACCTAACTCAGCCAAGGTTTGGCTTTAACGCTGGACAAAATTGCAAGTTTGGTCACCTGGTTCACGAGCAGCTAAGATTCTTGTTTCCAAATCTAAGACAAAGAAGCGAAATTACCATGAAGTGGTTGAAACAGAAAAGGCA